ATGGATAGAAAGTGGATTTATTAGATATACAGTTTATATATATATATATATATATATATATATATAGTACAGTACATGTGTCAGTCTGCTCATGCAGTCAAATGTGTTAAAATATTTTAATTAACTTTGATTAACATGTACAAATGTGCATCCCTAATTAAAATAATTAAAAGGAAACAACATTGAAATGAAAATGCATGCAACATAATTCCTCAGTTAGTGCTCTATCATCTAGCACTGTGTAAGAAAAGATGAATTAAAGAGAAGCAAAATTATTATATAATAGAGTCATTTAATGCCAAAACAAATATGGTAACCGGTCAACAATTGACCTATTTTGTGTTGAACAAAATGCAAAGAAGAAATGCGAGCTGTAAAAATAAGCAACCATCCGGCAGTTTATGATCAACGTTGCTTAGCTTAGCTCTCCAAAGACCACTTCCTTTAAATAAACGCAACACTTAAAATTGAAACTTCATTGTTAAATGGCTTTATGGTTGTCTTAAACAAAAAGGAAAGAAAGAAAACACAGCAGTTGTTTGTTTTAATAAAACTTTATGTTTATTTTATGTTGACTGTATCTGTTAATTTTATAAATTAAAAACTTAAGGGACCTGAGATTCAGAGAGCATTATAAAGTTCTGTAACAGCGGAGGTTCAATATGCTCAAGTCGCTCCCAAATGACTTTAATTAGCTCGAGTGGTAGCAATAATTGAGCATATAATTCTTTTATAATATGCATTTACCCTAAATTTAGAATTTTTAAGACTTATTTTTCACTCTGTGGGAGGTTCAAATCCCTGTCTGAGACAGTCTGCTGTGTGGATAATTTTTTATTTTAATTTCGGTAACAAGGAATTCATATAAATATTACATATACAAGTGCTTGGTCCATTCTTTAGTTAAAGTGATTGATTGCCTCTTTAGTCTTTAGTAGTTTGCTGAGTCATCTTATAATTTTAGACCTGTGTCTAGACCGTCTGAAACTGTCAAAGCTTTCAAATCTTTTTTCTATAAAAGGTCATTTCACCTCAAACTAAATTAATTAAGGCCAGAATGTTATCTCAACCCACTGAGTCCACACACAGAGCCCTGTTGGTCTATTTAAAATACAACACTTCAATTGTCATGATGCAGAAATCCCTCGTACAAGAATATATCACAGTAAAAACCTTGAGTAAAGATGTAACCATACATGGGCTTTTATACACAGTGAAATATTTCAGCACAGGATTTCCAAAGAATATTGTGCTTTGCAACATCCACAACAACACTGTATGCTGCACCTTGAGGACAGGATTGTTTTGTTTTATGGGGGTAAGAGTTTTGGTTTTGTTGATGCTTAAAAGGTTTTTTTTATTATTACCCTTTTGAATATGCTGTACATCTTGCATGTTTTCTGTTTTGAATTTCTAACATTTTTGTTCTACCTTCGTATAGACCGACATATATTAATATCTGATTGGTCTTTGATAGTTTGTCTATATTATCTGCTTTTTGAGCATCAACAAAATCTCCCAAATGAAGATTTTCTTTTATCTGAAAGCCCTTGACTATAATGTGAACCTTTATTGTCAGTCAATACGTTTGATAGTACTTCCAGAAGCGGCTCTAATTTGCATGATGTTATGTATAAATATACGGTGAATAATTGGATTACAAAAATATTTTTTTACTTTAAGAATATACTTTCGTGCTTTTATTATATTAGTAGTTGTGAATTGCCTCCAATGATGAAGAGGTATTTATTTAACAAAAACAAAACATGTTTCATTTATGGGGAAGCTTAATCCCAGCAGTCGAAGTCAGGGAAGACCTCGTATAGTTTAGCTAACAAAGTCCTTCATATTATGTACTAGTATTAAACCAGTGAACCAGTGATGGTCTTGGTGTAAGACATCTGAATATTTAAATTCACCCTCATTTAAGCCACAACATCATAAATGGCTGAATCTGACCCCGAGCCATATCTTTGACCTCATTGTATTAAGTGATGGTGACACTGTCATTACCTATGTGTAATATTTTTTTAGCCTTGGCATTATGAGCTGTGGTAAGAGGTAAAAAGATAGAGATTGAATTTAGTTTGCCATTTATGCCTGTCTTCGCATGTGCGCATTGACGGGGCTTGGCAGAGGAGGCGTCCGTGAGTCAGCCTGAACCTGATAACCCTTTAATTCATTGTTAAGCCTCAGGAAGTTAATTGCATATGGGATCGTAGCTGCAGAAATGTAATTTTTTTTTCCATTCCCTCATCTGTGCAAATACACAAGGACAAATGTGTGTGAGTGTCCTGCGTGATGTTGCACTCTGTCCCCTCTGTAGGGCCGCGCGGCTGTTTATGAGTCTTGCTGTCAGAGACAGGCTTATAAAACGCTTGGCCAATTCAATACACCGTCCCTGCCTTTATGACTGACTCAACACTCCCTGCGGCCTGTGTGGCTGGCTAGTATTGGGACATCAGTTATTCTGACACTTGAGAGTGAAACATATGAAGCACTCTTCAATATTTGATAATGAATTCAAAGATGATAAACTGTGGCCTCGACTTAAATCATGAAAAATCCATGAGGTGTGGCCCATTTGGAGTGTACAACCTGCTGCACTGCGGTCGACGGGACATAAAGTCTGAATCCTGAGCTTGGTGGAAAATAAAAAAAAGATTTTAAAGTGGTTTTTATTAAACAGACGCTTAGGTAACAGTCAGTGAAGACACAGATCACGACGAGAACCACTAGTACAAACACGCTCTCACACGTACCCAGTGAGACTGCTGGCAAGATGTTAAATTTAAAGGGGATTCCTCAGTGTACATTAAAAGTTAAAATGATCATTTATTATTAAGCTTTACACCAGCCATCGGCGACTGACTCTGGTCTGACCCAGTCACAGACCACAGACCAATATAACCTCCCTGCTTTAAAAGAATGGCAGAAATGAACTGTTCACATGGACGTCTGAATGCAGAACAATAGCGTAAAGTACCTGTTTATTCATTTATTTAGTTCCCAGTGTTTCATTAAAAAAAAATTACTGTTCCAACACCTTCTCACCCTCACCTGTCTCATTTCTTTCTTCTTCCATCAATTTTCTGCTCCCCTTTAAACCACGCCTTAAAACTTCCCCCGTCTCATTTCTCACAGGCTCCGGAGTGAAAGGGTTAAGTGTTGTGATTATGCTTGTGTATGTTGGGCTTGTTCACTGAACACTCATTTATAATGCACCACTCAGTCCGCTCTAACATCATAATGCCCCGACGGTCGGAGAGTAAAGAAGCAGCAGCATTACAGATTGATGAATGACTGCTGGGTCTGTTCTCCACCCTGGGTGATATTGATCTGACTGGAACGTAGCAGCAGGTGCTCACACACACACATTCAGAGTATGAGTTTATCTATGTCTAATTTTGCACGTGTGTGTGTGTGTGTTTGTGTACTGAGAGGTGGTGCTTCAGCCTCCCCAGGCTGTTTATCAAACCCCACCCCTGTACGGATGTCTTTAATACCAGCCCAGGCCGAGGGCTGAGGTGAAGTCAGGCCTGTGAGCAGGGCTTCTGAGGCAGGCAGATCTGGGTCTTAGTAGGAGAGAAGGTGACCAGTTCATGCCAGGACTCATTGAAATTCTGGTGTTTTCTGTGAGGGCTCTCTGGACGCAGCACTGAAGGAGCTGGGTCAGCTGATCGATACCGCTTTCCACTCCACCCAGTTCTCGGAGCCTGGCAGCAGAGGAGCGAGAGGAGAGCTAAGACTCTCTTTGTTTCCACCTGATGTGCGAGCAGCATAGAAATACCCGGGTGAAGCAACTGAGACGTTAGAAGATGTTTCATGCAGTGAAAAACTGAGATGATGCTTTCGAACGGAGACACGAGTCCAGTTGGTATTGAATTCCAGTAGCGGTTGTGTCTGTCTCTTTATGAATAGCTGCCTGTCCGTGTGACCCCGCAGAGCTGCTGGCACCTCGTTCTCCCCTGAAGCAATTATTTAAAAAATCCAGAATAATGTGATTAGCCTGCATTTTTGAAACAAGCTCTAATTAAACTCATTCTTACCACACGCCATAAACTATTCTACTGTAAATGGAAGCAATCCATGTGGAAAGCAGAGGCCAGGCCGAGGCCAGAGATGGACTGAAGGGAAGGGCGTGTGAGAGACTTAATGAGTGGGAGAGACAGAAAAGAAGCGTCCGTACAGGCGACAAAAAAAGATTTAAAAAGTAAGAGCGTGAACTTGTGAAAACAGATAGTGAGGAGGAAGAAAACAGAGAGGAGGATGGTGGGAGGAAAATACTGGTCTAGATTAATGGACTTTAAAGGTCAGTCCAGCATGTTGTATAATTCAACACACAATAGCTGTGATTGATGTGTATGCTTTAGGACCTTTCCTGCTCAGTTCCCACAGCATTTTGCTCTGTGTTCATCTGAGCCACAGAGGCTTTGTGTCTAAGCTGGGAAGGGTACAAATTCGTTTAATAGGTTTCCGAGGAACTGCAGCCTTTGATAAGACGGTAGGCGTCGGAGGGGCTCCGTAGGAAGGAGGCGTGTCTGCATCCAGAAGAGTCGGTGTAACTAAAAAATTTACAGGACACGTCGCTGTGACATAAATCCATTTGCAATCTAACAATAGTCTGCATTAGCTATTTATTCTGCTATCTCCCTGCTGTTATATGAGATTTGATGCCTCACATATTCATATTTTCCCACTGCACAGCCAGGCCAGAATTTACAAGTATCTCAGCCTTACATCGTCACTTTCCATCATCACTCTCCGCTTGTATTGTAAACATCATCTGCACAGTGAGACGTGTTTGTCTGCTCAGAATCTCAATAGTAATTACTGTGTGTGCGAGGACGCTCCGACTGTGTTAACCTGCTCTGTGGCACCCCTCAGTGTTGATGCTCGGCCTGTTTCTCTACTCCTGCTGGAGGAGACACAAGGGCCTGAAAGAGGGGGTGTACCATGTGTCCGCGCACCACGGCGAGTGGGAGGACATCCGGGAAAATGTCCTCAACTATGATGAAGAAGGTGGAGGCGAGCAGGATCAGGTAAATAAACAAATGTGCCTTTCTGTCTACATCACTGCTTCTCAAAGTGTGGGGCGCGTCCCACAGAGGCGTGAAAGGGTCGTGTGATGATGGCGCAGCTGCACTTTTATTTTCCCTTTTTGAATGTTGTGTTATTTGATGTTTTTGATTTTGAGTAATTATAAAATATGTTACTTGGTGTTTGTTGAAAAAAATGTGAAATGTCAAGATTTTGATTTGGGCGATGGGAACAGGTGGGGCTTTTTTGGTCATGGAGACAATGAAACTTGAATTGCTTGAAAAACACAGGTTGACTGGTGAAAATACATCACGGTGTATTGAGTCCCTGGATCTGCACATTTTGCAGTATCCAAACAAATACTGGACCCAATACTGATACTGGTATTGGTGTGACCCTAATGAAAAAACTTTGAATTTACTTGTGAAAAAGACAAAGGCATCAAATTAAGTTGTGATCTGCTACATGGTGTTATCTGTGCAGTGTTACATCACGCAGTAACACGACCGCTGCTGAGGTTCCTGTGCTCAGCTCATCAGGCTTATCTAAAGGCTGGATCACTGTAAAGCCCATTCAGTCCTCCAAGGTTTACCTCATCAGTGATGTAGGTCAAGAGGTGGAGAAATACCATCCCAGTCAGCAGACAGCTGCTGTGCTGGCCTGCTAGGCTAAGAACGACCAAATGTACAAAGAACCTGATCACCATCAGAAGTTGTTTTGAAGTCTTTGCCTAACGTCTCTATAGACTTTTGATTTCCAGCTTTGACTTGGAAACACTAACAAACCTAACAACACAATGAAAAGTGTCACTACAGCTCCCTCCTGCATGTCTGCCGCAGAGTGCTTGTGTATTTTGTTCCTAAAAAGTCTCCATAAATGATTGATTTGAATTCCTAATGTATGTAGTTTGTGTGTGAAGGAGAAAAAAAAGCCTGCTGCTCCACACTGAAGTGCTTTTTTGGTAGATGTCAAATGTTCCATCTCTGCCAGTTCTATTTCCAGTTGTAGTTCACCACTAAGAGGCTTTTTACCAAGTCATTCTGACAGGAAGCTGTGGCCAAGATCTTTTAAAGAAGTAGTATCTGGTAAAAAAAATTTCAACAGCCTCATTTGTTAACAGTAAATCATTTCTTTGACCTTAAAGATTATCAACACTGACCCAGTTATCTGGCCAGCAAAAATATGCATGTGACCCTAACAAAACTGTGACTCCACTGGGCGCCTGTGCTGTGACCAGGAGACAGTCAGGTGTTAGCATAAAAACACTTGGTTGAAAAGAAACTCTTTTAAGATAACCAGCGTTTTTGCCAGTTTTTTTGTCACTGTTGTAAATAAACCTGAAGCAGTTTGTGGTCGGTTGTTGTCTTCAGCAGAGCATGGAGAATCAATTGTGTTAATTTGAGCCCATTTAGAAGAAAATAAAGGGGTAAATAGTAACAAGTTATTAAAACATTTGACTAGGAGCCCAGTTGCATGTGACATCTCAGCTTCAACGTGGAGCTGGTCTTCATAATATAGTGTCCCTGGAAGAAAGAAATACTTTGTTTTATGTCCATTTCTTATGCAGGGTGTTTGGAGAAGAAATTGGATCAAATAAAGTAGTAAAAAAATAAAACAACATTACGGGGTTAGACGAATATTTCATCCACTTGTCATTTCCGTCGTCTTAAATGTCACTGTGTCCTCATTTTTCAGCGTGTGCAAAGGTTTTGCAAGCAAAACCACAAACCATTAACATTTCAAAGAGCTGCGCTGGCGTCGTGAAATGAACACCAAATATCAGTTCCCTTGAGACGTAGCGATGTGAGTCAATTAGCAGAAATTAAGAAAGTAGACCCCAGTAGCTGCTAATGCCTTTGTTTTAATAGCGTTGATAATAATGGCGCCACCTCCACCCTCGTCCCCATTTCTTTGCAATCAGATAATTAATTACATGGATAATCAATGGGGCTGCTGCTGCCAACATCGCTTCCTACATAGTGGATCTTCGTCTTAGTCTGCTGAACAGGTTCATTTACCAGCACAGACATTAGCTCAGCTACACTGCTCTGAGCACAGATTGGTGGCATGTGGCAGTGTTGTTTTTCATTATCTCTTAAATAGATTATAAAGATTACACAAGGGGAAAAGATTATTTTCTCCACTCCTTTTTCTTCTCTTTCCTTCCTCAGAATGCCTTCAATATGGTGGAGCTGCAGCGCTCCCTTCAGCCCAGCCCGGCACAGTCGCTCCGCTACAGCTACCCGCACAGCATCACCTCCTACCCACAAACGAAGCTTCCCCAGGACGGCAACAAGAAGGAGGTGTGCGGCGGGAGCGGGAGCGGCAGCGCAGCTATAGCTTTGCGTCTGGCCATCCCTCCCACAGAGGCCGAGAGCCTGCCTTCTCCTCTCACCTTCAGACGCAACCAGAAAACCCTCTCCTTCTCCAGCCAGGACTTGGCTCGCTACCTGTGCGAGGTCATCAGGGACATGGAGCACCCGAAGGAGCTCGGCACCATGACCACGCCTCGCCGTCCCTCTGGGAAGGAGCGAGGCGTGGCGGCCGTGCGCTCCCTTTCCTCTCTCAGTGCATCTCAGGGTTCAGAGGTCAAGCTCACGGAGGGCCAGAGCAGCCGTTCTGACAGATTCAAAACCCTCCGAGCTGTGGTTTGTGATATGAGAGGAGACTGCGAGACAGCCGAGGGCCAGAGAGACACAGCCGAGGAGAGCAGAGGGCAGCTGAACTGTGAGGAGAGTGAGTAAGTATAGAGCGTCCTCCGAGGAACTGAACTGAAGGTTTCGGGAAACCAAAGCTAATCAGAAAGTGATGGTGAAGGTCCACGGGGTATAATTAAACGTGAACTATTCAGCCACTGGGAGGTTGCTCCGGGTGTATGTGTAGTCTGCTCTAAGTGTACTGTATTGATGAAATTCTGAACACTTTAGTTATTTGATGTGTTGTTTATTTGGCATTGCACTGTACAGTATTTATTCCTTAAAAAAAGCACTTTTTGGAGGCTTAACGTGTCAAAACTACTTATGTCAACAAAAAAAAAAGAAGGAAATGTGTGCAAGCGAGAAGGCAAATGGGATTTTTGTGGGGAAAAAAAATTCTTTCAGCTATGTATGATTTTTCAAATGAACTTTCGTGGGGGGAAATATGACTTTGTTTCATTTGTAATATCTATTTCCTTTTAAAAAAATAATAAATATCTTTGATAATATTCCATGGTTGATGTCGATCAAATAGGAGATAGCTAATTTGAAGTCTACGCAGACTTAAAGGCTTAGTAATGATGTACAAATACAAAACCTCCCTTTTTTGTCGCCGTTCTTTTATGTACCCGTGCTGCAGATAATTATTGAGAGAAAACGTCACAACACAGGTGCACTTCCTGTTAACTATCATCAGAAGTGAAGCTCTGACAGTAGAACAAAGTCAATTTCAGGATTAATCATTCATGTCCCGAGCCCGTAGCCTCCTGACCTGAGCTTCTGGGAGTCTTGGGCTGAACTCCGAAGGGTTTCCCAGCAGACTGCACAACAGCACACTTAATTGGCTGCTATCACTGGAGTTAAACAGCTGTGACAGCGGAGCGAGTCACGGGGGACGACCGCAGAGGCTGATGGTCCTCATGTCTGTGTCCTGTCTGTCCGCACACCTACATAAGGCGGTACGGAGTAGATGGCTTTCAAAGCCCTGTTGGATTTTAATGGAGCAGCTCTTAAAGTGCGTAATAATCAGCTTCACAGGCTTTGATGTTGAACGCACGAAAGCTCTGCGTGTGAGAGCAGAGAACACTGCTGCTGTCATGCTACGGTGGAGCTACCTCTCTTTATGACTGCTAATAGTCTTACTAAATTATATCTGATTTAATCCAGTTAAGTTGTCTCAGAGGCAAACATGCTCTGTGAATGCACACTGCCACCTACTGGTGAGGTTGTAGCACCACATAAGTAGCTCACCGCAGCAGATCTAAAGTCAGGGCCGTTGTAGATTTGACTTCAATCTCACAGAATGTTGAAGAAGAAAAAACATTCGTTTTAATGAGAATAACTCACATAACCTTAGCAGTGATATCGTGCAAGATATAAGATACAGTATAATTGACACGTATATTCCACCATTTGATTGCATCATAAAATGAATTTCTAAGTCAAAGTAACCTGTAAATAGGCCTTAGGTGGCGAAGACACACCTGTTTTACTGATACCGTCTTTAGTAAAGATGGAGGATGTTGTGGAAAAACCCCTCAGTGTTGACGTTGGGCCCAGCTGTTCCTGTGCAGCTGCTCGTTGGCCCCGCGGCTCTGAACGGTGGCTCCAGTTAAAGCGCTGAGAAGAGTGTTCTTTAAAGAGCAGGCGACGCTCGCAGCAAATACTCCGTGAATAAACGGAGAGAACGTTAATAAAAACCATTTACTTACTGATTGCAGCTCCTGTAATTTACCCTTTCAGCCATCAGAGGACACTCTAAGTTCAGAGGAAGCAGCTGGAAGTGACTGCAGTGCCACCTCGGGTGGAATTTTAAAGTAAAATAAAAACGTAATGGTGAATAAATAAAAAAACAACAAAGACAAAGAAACTTTTTATACTGTATGAAGGTTCAAAGCAAGAGGTGAAAGTTTGATATGCAATGATTCTTACTGCTAACAAAACACTGATTTAACATAACATCTATATTTATTTGGCATTTTCATTAATGTATTATGAGCAAAAGAAAAATAAATATTGATTTACAAAAATGAAATGTTCAATAACCAAGCAAAAATAAAGTAATACCTGATGCATTGTATAGAAAACGTTTAGAATGAATGGAAAAAAAAAAAAAATATTGTAGGAATGATTGTCTGAGGAGAGCATCAGATTGAGGTAGAAGGATGAGTTTTAATGTGTCATCGTTGTTGCCAGCTCTGATTTATGTTGATATCTGCATTCAAAATGTAAGGTCAGAGTTTGGCAGAAAAAACATGAACACGGGGATCCATACTGTTTTCAATCAACACATTTACATTGCTGCTGCTGCTGCTGCTGCTGCTACAGAGTAATGGATGTATTCTCTTGGCCCAATGTAGGTCTCTTAGCACCAATTGAATCGCTTGAACACCCCAGTCCAACTGAAAATGGTTGATTACTCCGGCTCTAAATGACAGTACTTTCTCCTGATGGCTGGATCAATCTACACTGAAGGTCAGAGCCTCATGTCACAAAGACTTCATCATCTTTTACAGGATTACATCTGAAATGAGATCTAAATTCAAAAGGCGGCGGTGGAGGTGACGCTGGTCATTCTGAGTCAAGAGGCCGAGATTCATGATCAAATGTTTGATGTGACAGGTAGAGATTGTTAGAATGAGGACTGACACAGAGCTGGAGTTTCCCTCAGCGGCTGACGGTCACACATGTTGTGTGTGTGTGTGTGGGTGTGTGTTTGTATGCGTTCATTTGTGTTGCCTCAGGCCAACGATATGTGGGGAATGACAGCGTGGCCCGCCGTCACTTGGCTGCTAAAGCGGCGTGTGTGTCACCTCTCCTGACAGACACTTGTCTCTGCTGAGCAGCAATGTGGGACATGTCTTTTGACAGAGTGACGCAGCCTACATAGCAACACGACACGCAGACAGAACATAAGCATTGATGTGTGGGGGTCACTGCAGAGGGACACAGCTCTCACTGGGAGAGTTAAAGCTGCACTGATCTGTGCACAGCCGGAGACACAGGGACTGTGCTGCACCTTATCTGATGTCTCCTGGTAATACATGAATGAAGGAGTGGACATGGGTCAGGATTCCAACTTCAATAAACCTTTATAATATTTTAACAGAAGATATTTAAAGAAACAAGACTTGGGATGACTAGTGCATGATTATGAATGTCCGTTTTCTCTGACAATTCAAACATATTGATGTTGTTACTAGGACAAATGAGTGATAAAAAGAAATCAATTCTAATGTCGTCTCTGACAGAAGAAATACAACAGTTTTGTTCACAGCGACAGTGTAAAGATAATTTAAAAAAGGAGCTCCTGTTTAATTCCAGAACAACTTTGATGGAAGTGCAACAAATATGTTGCTTTAACTAATACATTTGTACCTTTTCCTGTCACGTGACACAGCACTGAACATTGTAGAGTTCAGGATGAGTGTAGGGGTGACTACAGACATTCTCCTGAAAATGACTCCTGTATTGTTGGAACATTTAAGGTTGGTGTCATAAATTCTGATGGAGACGTAGAGACAAAGTTTGTTTGTCTACAAGTAGTGTTGGCTCAGTGGTTAAGGAAGTGGTCCAGGAGGGTTCAGGTTCGAGTCCACCAGCTGCCGAGTTACCACTGAGGTGCTCTGAGGATGGCACCGTCCCCACACACTGCTCCACAGGCAGATTAAACTGCCCACTGTTCACTTTGGTGATGGGTTAAAAGCAGAGGTCACATTTGGTTGTGTGCAGTGGTGAGCTGTGTCACAATGACAAGTAGTTCACTTTCATATTAGTTCATTTATCTGTGAAGATTTGATACACAAGCCTGTCGCATAATTTAAAAAAATTATATGGCGATCGTAATAAATAGATGGATGGATTTTTTTTAAGGAATAAGGGCATGGACAAAACAAAAAAATATCCTTTTTATGCATTTTAGTATTTTTTTATTTAGGAAAAACAAGTGGAATCTGTTTTTTAGATGCAGCGTTTTTATTTGTGCTCTTGTAACGCCTGTGTTTGTTAATGCTAGTGGTTGTAATTTTTCATGATAATAAGGTCAATGATTCTCAGGCCTGGCAGCCAGGCTCTTAAGAAGGTCACAAAAGGATGATTTTTTTTTTTTTTTTAATTGTTGCACTAAAGAAAAGTAGTGTTCTCCAAAGTCAGACCCTGCTGCTTGTTCTAATGAGGGCAGAGGAGAAAGGAGAACCGTTCCCTCTGACATGAGGTTAAAAGCTCACCAATGACTGGTCACTGGTCCATCACATGCCAGAAACAGAGACACTACCTTCACACTGTGTGAGTTTTAACTCCCCGGCTAACTTCATTACCAATCTACATAATTTGGAACTGTGAAAAATAGAACATTGATTCTCCAGACAGAACGCCCCGGGCTAACCTGGGAGCAATCTTCACTAAAAGTTGTTTTTTTTTTCTAACAAGCACCGAACTGGTTATTTTTAGGGACAGTAACTACAGCTGTGGGGTAGGGAGGGTGGTGTGGGGGTCACCTCAGGACGAGATTGTAGGTCAGATGTAATTACATGGCATTGTTTCCAACAGAATCTGTCATTTATTATTTCACAGACAATAATTGCTTGTACTATCTGATCCGCCGACTTCAGAAAACGTTTCCTGGACTTGTTTCACGCGTGTGGTCATTTGTCTGACTGTCAGTCAGTTATGTGATTCGTGGGGACGGTGGAGGACAGACCTCATCCTCAACAGTTCTCTCTTTGTTTCAGCCTCATGTTAATGATCACTGTCAACCTGAAGGGTTTACAAGTCCTGCCGTGACTTTTGAGTCGTACGACTAAATATGTCAGTGAAAATGAAACTGCTGCTTCCATCAGCAGTGAAGTCATTAGTGAACGCCAGTGAATCACTTCTTGGCAGACGCACACAGTACACTTCAAAGATCCAGCTGTTTGCGATGTCCTCACATTTTCCTCTTCCATCAGTTCCGATTTCTGTCCCATCGGTTCACAGCAACTGCTTTCACTTTGTAGGAGACTCAGAACTTCTCTCTGTTTTTGACTGACTGTTTTTTGCCTGTCAGCCTGGATCATGTACTCATGAAGTATTTCCACAAATACTGTAATCCTTCATGCATTCTGCAGTTACTTTCTTACTTTTGCACAAATCATTTTCTGATTGTTGCATCTGTTGTTTCTTTCTCCCTGTCCCGTACAGCAGCTACTGACAGAGCCCTCAGTCCAGTCAGTAACTCTGTCTCAGCTCTCGGCCACCACTGACCTTTTTCTGCACAGCTGAACAATGATATAACACATACTGGAGCTGCACGAGTTCCATTCAGTTGCATCCAATTATCTTCAAGCTCAACAGTTTGAACAATGTGTTAGGGACGTATTTCCACACAGTACAACTTTAATGCAGTATTGATTATTCTGTTTGATACTAATGAACACGTGCACTGAAACTCTGAGCCTCAGGGGTAAATATGGAGCAGTTCAAATGGGGTCTTCTTTATCAGATTTTTAAAAAATGTTATTGATTTGCAGAAATGTCTAGTGTACGGACAGGTTTATTAGTGCAATGGTGGGAACATAATTATAGCCATGTCAAACAAACTGTCAGGCAAAAAAAACAAGACTATTTCCATAACAACAGTGCAATGGTTAGGAATAAAAGGAGATTTCAATAAGACCACTTTGCTCAAAGGTTCCATGGTCATGCTCAAATCACAGAGAGAAATGTAATTATAATGTCCTACTCTTCCTTTATCATGATTCAAATTTAGACAGAAAAGAGAATTCTGATGATCACTGTATTATTTCGGGGCGAAATATTTTCACAATATACAAAATAAAACATGTTTTTTTCAAGGATTCTTTTTTTTCTTTTCATTTTTATGCCTTGGGAGATTTTTAATTACAGGCGTGTAACGTGAAGCTTACGCTTGCATTTCTTCCTAGCCGCCTACAGAGGTCGCTCTTTGCCACACCTGAGGTATGAGTCGAACCACTGATGCGTGCTCTCGTCAAGCTTCTCAGGTTTCCTTTCAGGCTCAGACCCTCCATGCTCTCCCCGTGTTCTTCAGAAGATGCTCCACGCAGCCTCCCACAGAGAGCCGTGGAAACACTTTATCATTGACTGTACTGGGTGCATTTAATGGCACAGCCATGATGGATTCTGCCAGTGCTTGATTTATTGATCACTTTCCTCAGATAAGCTGTGAATACTCAAATAGTTAGCAGTCACCTCCAGGAATCACTTTCACTCAGGGCCTTTCTCTTCAAAAGTTGTGTTTTGTTTTTTG